AATCCCCTGAAAGGTGGAGTGTGATTTCATTTTCCATAACTTCCTGAAAACATTTTTTAATGAAAAGCCAAAGAAAATAGGATTTTTCCAGGAATATTAATACAGAGAAGTCAGGTTTATGGATCCTGAATTCACTCGTCCTCACCATTCAGATGAGTAGACACTCTCAATATGTCACAGGATACAAGCATGTCTAGATCTAAATCTGGTTGGGGGTTCATTTGGCTTGGGTGTGTCTATTTGTAGATCTGAGATATTATAACCTGTAGTCTGATAACCCCGTTAAGTAACACTGTGGTTCTCAAAGTGAGAAATGGGGTCGCGAGTTGCCTAACCAAAACCGTAATGATATAAAATGGTACATTTCACCCATAAATGTAAAAAAAAAAAAAAAAAAAAAAAAAGTTCAATTTCAAATAAAAGCTTAACCTAAAATACATGAATGTGTAGAAATACTTCAAATGTTTGCACATGACAGCAAACTGTAGGTTTCTGCTGCTCTTCACACATAAAGATGAACACACCTGTGTGTTTATTTGTTAAGCTGTGTATGTCCACTCAGTGCTAAAGTCTGTACATGGAAATGATTTCTATTCTGCTTCTAGTCCACCTTACAATAAATCAGTTTGATGTTTTTTTAGGCTGTTGTATTCTTTTGTGTTCTTCAAGTTTTTGTGATATATGCTTAACCCCTGATCCCCTGGGAACCCCTGATCTAACATACACAATTAGGCCAGGTTGCAAAGTGTAGCAACATATTTCCAATGTTTGTGCTGCTGTAACACAGAACTAGAAACTTATAAATCTTCCTCTAATGAAAATCAAAATATAAGTTAGTTGGACGTCCCCCCCCCATTTAAAACAAACTCCAAATGGACACAATAACACTCAAGAATACACAATCTATCACACTCCAGGACAAACTCTAACACACACCATCTGTCTCTGTTTTTACCCCGGCCTGCTGATCACCTGAGAGTTTGGCAGTGTCAGGGTGGAACAGAGTTGTTGACTGCCGGCTGATCCGAACATGTTGTGCTGTGCAACCAGGAAGTAACATCGTGAGGCAATTACTTCTGTTATTCATCATTCACTCCCATGTTTCCCAACTATTCTGATTTCATAGACTGCAGACAATTTAGGGAGCGTGTATTGGGAGACACTGGTGCGAGATACGGGGACATATGGGGGGGGAAACAAGGAAAAGGAAGAGGCAGATGAATGGCTCACTCATGAAACCATAGTATACAGTAAAGGAGGAGCGGCTCATGAAGGAGGAGTCTGAAGAAACAGGAAAGGAGAGACACACACAGGGAGAGGGGGCAGGGATGTGTAAACATGTTTTTGAGTTGAGGGCTCAGCAAAATGTGGAATGCACTGCAGCGAGGCCGTTTGGTGTAAATGTAAACATAGCACTTTGGTATGGCAGGCCTGTGTCTCTCCCAGACGCTGCTCACATGTTGTCCCACACGAGTTGCTCTGAGATCCCAAATCTCCAATTACAAGAACACAAAAACAATCTGAAGCAACTGAACAATTATTCTCATGTCAGTCCCCAACAAGGGAGCTAACAAGCCCAGAGAAGATGCAGATGAAAACATGAACTCCAAGACTTGATATTTTGTAAAAGATAGGTTTTTTTGTTGTTGCATTTAACACTTGATGAGGGGTACTGTATCATTTCACCCATCTGCTGTCCTCAAACAGACTTGTATACACCGAAACAAGGAAAGGGAGAGGTAGACAGAAAGAGAGAGAGCTGGGAAAGGAGGGAAAAGTTGCTTCATAGTTTTGCCTGTTTTCTATAGCGCAGGACGATCAACAGACCAGGACCAGAGTACTATTAGTCAGACTACTAAAGACAAAGACTCTTTTTGTCACCAATTTAAACAGCAAGAAGTGTTGCATATCAAACTACAACCAACATGTATTGACGACCTATAGATTGGGTTAATGATGAAGACAGATACAGCATTGTCAACGCAACATGTACTGGCTGCACAAAACTCCTCCTCAGACACCCATAAGGGGCATTCACATGAATGCGCATGCACAGGGCCTCACTTTAAATCCTTGTCTGATCCCTCCGAGGAGAGTTTATTTTGCCAGACAGCGTGAGCTTTGGGGAAAGAAAAAAAGAAAAAGAAACAGCAGAGCAGACCAGTTCAGACCAGTTTGGCTGAGGTCTTGCGCTTTTATCTCATTGTTTCAGGCTCACTGCAGAAGTTCAGAGCGTTCAGGCGGTGAAGGTCAGAGAAACGGCGCTTTCATGTAGTCTAAAAAGAATTCAGTCTTAAAAAAGACCAGCTTTGAACCATTCTTTCCTGGAAATGGGAAGTCAATACCACATATACAGTATGTTTCCTGGATTACTAGAAAGGTTCGAAAGGCTAGAGGAAAGACTAATCCATTGAAAACATTGCACTGATATGTAGAGAATGATTTACTGAGAGAAAGTTGTGAGGGGACAGGTTAATTACGTCCTCACCTTACAGGGACTTTGTCATGTTGTGTAACGTTATTGCTTTATGATCTCTGTGTCTTAACAATTACTCCTTTAACGTTTCCTACTCTCATCTGAATCGATGCCTGTCGTGTTCTTTTGCTGTGTGTCTTTGTTCCTCTCTGTCTCTCTGATGATAATATGTGGCCTGGTTTTCTCCCACACACACACACACACACACACACAAAGGACGGACTGTTCAGTGTGGAAGGCCTCCCTCTCCAACTCCTTTGCTTGCATGAATGGAGAGCTAGTATGGACAAAGCAAACACTATTTAGTCCTATACATTAGCATTCAGACATCACAGAAATGTAAACAAATATGGGAGAATCAAACAGACATCAGCAACACACATGGGCTGATATTCTACAGTAGACAGCGCTGACTCTTACAGGCAGTGTTGTAATGATCTCTCCCAGCATTTGCAACCCTCTCTCTCTCTCTCTCTTCCCCCTCAGCGTCCCCTTTCTCCCCCTAGCAGCACCTCTTTCTCTCAGCAGGAAACAATGGCTGTTACGTGAGACGGCGCCTTTTCTGTGAGCAGAATTTCAAACAGCTCAGCTCGCATGCAGGAAGGCAGCAGAGTGGCGCAGCGGAAGCGTGCTGGGCCCATAACCCAGAGGTCGATGGATCGAAACCATCCTCTGCTATTTTGAACACAATGTCAGACATGTGTACTCTACATCTACATAATCTATACTATTAAGTAGCTCAATAGTAGAAAGCATATTCTGATGACATCCTAGAAGTTTGTGGTGAAAACATCAGTCAGTCATTCACCTTTACCTCAAATTAAACATTTACCTCATTTGTGTCCGGACACGTTTTCCTTTCAATTTAGCAGCTAATCACCAGAAAAGAAAGCATGTGATGAGTAACCTGACCTTTGAGCCACAGCACATGTTAACTCCCTTTCCTCTCTTTTCTCAAGGCTTTCAGAATTAATTCTTTAGAGTTAATTTAGAGATTCTTCGCAGAGTGAATGGTGTCTTTTAAATCATAGTGTTCATGCAATAAGGTACAGCTGGAAAACAGCATTTTGGTAAAGAGGCGGGAAAGGATCGTTGCGTCATGATCTGAAGCACAGTTTGAACTTCCTTTTACAGTAAAGTTTGCCGCTGCTCTCGTTTTTTGTATGGTGTCAAATGGGTTAGGCTTAATACTTAATGTTTACATGTTCGATGTGTCCTTGGGCACTTAACCCCAAGTTGCTATCGCTGCTTATGAATGTGTATGAATGGGATTATTTACTTTTGATGGACACTTTACATAGAAACCTTCTGCAGTGTAAAGACACTGTGAGTAGTCAGAGGACTAGGAGAGCACTATACAAGTTCAAGTCCATTTTTTATCATTCAAAAAACTATGAAACAGACATTTGTGTCTTTGGAAAACTCCCTTCTCACTACAGTTGATAACACTGTGCAAATGAGCCTTTACTGCCCTCTGGAGTATTCCAATAGTCCTTACAATTTTAAAAGAAATTCACACAAAACTATGATTAGGCCACACATTTTATCACTCTAATGTACAATTTGGTCAGCTATAATATGTATGGTTCTTTATTAAATAGGCACTACATATCTATTTGCTGAAACATAGCACTAGTATTTCATTTCATAATTCTTGTAATTGTTGCACATGCTGTTTATTTCAGGAATATTTAAGTTATGTTCTCACACCTCCTGGATAAGTACTACAGGAGTTGTCCAGTTCTTATTTAATGCATCATGCCAAACCTGCCTTATATGGTTTGTAATGATGTATACTTGTGCAAAATGCATGATGCAAAGAACCATGGTATTATAAAGTAACTATGATTTCTTGGTATGCAAAGCTTCCATCTTCACTTCATAAGGATTTCAGAAAAAATACAGTTTGCAGACAACTTTTCTGATGTGTTCAATTTTCAGGCTGTTTGTCTCCCCATGTCTTTCTTACTGTCAGGAAAAGATAAAGATACCAGGGTTGGATTTATAATCAAGCAGAGGAAAGAAAATAAACTGAAATGGGATAGAGAATTGAAAGTGGCATGTCAGATTGTGGCAAGTGCATAAGAATACAATTTAATTTCAAAGTTAGGATAAAAGGATAAAAAGTCAAGTGCAAATGTAAATATTCGGTTTGACTTTTTTTTATATTTTAGTAGCCAAATTGAGATTTTTAACTACTGTAACGTCATTATATGTGTTACAAATGAGTAAACAAGATGTTTTTCTAAATATAATTCCACCAGTCTATGTAGAAATCACAAAATAGGCTAAAACTAATGCATTGTTTCTGAGTCTGAGAAGAACAATTTAGAGAAAAAGAAAGAAAAAGAAAAAGAACAATTAAATAAATTAAAGAAAAAAATGATAAATTAAATTAAAGAATTAAAAAAAAAAAAAAGAAAGAAATTAAAGAAAAAGAAAAATGTAGAGAAAATTCAGTAGGCTATTTTATCGTTGAACGTCACGCTCACACACACGCAATCACGCATTTGCAAACGTCACAAACCAGGAAGTCCGCGTAGAGGAGGGAGCAGAGGAATCACAACAGAACCACTACATACTTGACAGCTCGGTTTTTGTGCTGTTCTGTTGTCTTGTTCTCATCAAGAGCGGATATGTCCCGAAAATCCAAAGACGAATATTACCGTTTTTTCAACGTGACCGACCCACGCACACACGAGAAAGGACACACCGAGTACAAAGTGTCAGCAAGGGTTGGTTTACACTCTTATCTTTCTGCAGCAGTAATACAAACCTATGTAATGATAATGTTCACTGTAAACATCATTATCTCCTAAAGTGGTAGCCTCATTCAAAAGTGGCCTTGTGTGTTTGAAGCTGAGACACAAAGTTCCTGCGTTTTCTGATGCAGGAACTTTGTGTTCTTGGTCCTGCAGCTGGTTTGGACAGCTAGAGATATAAAAAAAAAAAAAAAGACAATGGGACCTTTGATGTAGTTCAATGGCGCTTCATGAAAACTGAGAGACCTTGTGATTCAGTTCCTGAGCTCCAGCACCCCCCATGACCAGACTAGTATCTCGTGGTCTTTCCTGGCATGCATGCATAATCCCCTGGAAATCACACCTCCTTAAGTCTGCATATCCCCTGCTTATTTATTTCTTTATTTCTTTCTTTATTTGTTTGTTTGTTTGTTTGTTTGGGACAGTGCATATTAATGAACAGCTGTAACAATTACAGCTGTAAAAATGCCAGACTATAGCAGAAGTGCTAGTTTCCATCTGTTGTCCCTAGGCAGGTAACAGAGACAAATACAAATAAAATACTAATACAAATACAAATAAATTACAAATAAATACAAATAAAATACAAATAAAATACTAATACAAATACTAATACAAATACAAATAAAATACAAATACAAATAAATTACAAATAAATACAAATAAAATACAAATACAATACTAATACAAATACAATACTAATACAAATACAAATAAAATACAAATACAAATAAATTACAAATAAATACAAATACAAATAAAATACAAATACAAATAAATTACAAATAAATACAAATAAAATACAAATACAATACTAATATTAATACAAATAAAATACAAATACAATACAAATACAAATACAAATAAATTACAAATAAATACAAATACAAATACAAATACAAATAAAATACAAATAAATACAAACACAAATAAAATACAAATACAAATAAATTACAAATAAATACAAATACAAATACAAATACAAATAAAATACAAATACAAATAAAATACAAAGGCACAAGTGACACAAGACAATGATAGAGGTTAAAGGTTAAAAGTGGTCACAGACTTGGTTTTCTTTTATCCACTGTTTGAGGTGTGTTTTGAAGGTTGCACATGTTTGTGAGTCTCTTATTGTGAGTGGTAGAATATTCCAATATTTAGTTCCTTTGACTGACTGAACAGTTTGTCCGAATGTGGTGCGTCTGTACGGGACCTCACAGTCTCCTCGGGCTGTGGCCCCTGGTGCCGATCCCACTGGCAGACTTCAGCTTTATAAAGTCATTCAAAGGAGGAGGAGCAAGTCCGTGCAACATTTTATATATAAAACAATGTTATGTTATGTTTACAGACAAATATATTCACATGCTCCTGATTTGTTAAAGTATCTGAAACACAGATTGTTGATGCATTTCTTTCCCATCTTCTCTGTCGATCTGTGTAAAACATCACCTCCGGGGGTTTAAGCGTGCTGCACTCTGCGTCTACTGTTAAACATGCAGTTAGTGAAAGAATCTGTATCTTGTTGGGTTTGTAGTTTGTGTCCAAGCGTCATCCCGAAGATGTGAAGGAGGTGGTCGTGTGGAGGAGGTTCTCGGAGTTGAAAAAGCTCCACGGAGAGTTGGCCTACACGCACAAGAACCTGTTCAGAAGAGAGGAGGAGTTTCCACCGTTCCCCCGCGCTCAAGTCTTTGGTACAGTGGATTAAAATAAAGTCACCAGTGCCTGAAAAATAACAACTGATTTCTGTTTTGTTTGTTTTCTGTTTCTGTTTCGTTGGTTATGAAACTGTCCTCGTTTTGGGTTTCAGGGAGGTTTGATGAAGCTGTGATTGAAGAGAGGAGGACAGCTACAGAGGCCATGCTTCTGTTTACTACCAGCATACCTGCACTCTACAACAGCCCACAGCTCAAGGACTTCTTCAGAGTAAGACACACTCAAACAAAGAAAACAAATTCATTTGAATCAACTATCTCTAATCCTCGGCTCACCCTCTACATCACAACACAATCTGTCCTCTTTCTGTCCCCTTTACACACTGTGGGTAAGCAACTGTGCCAAGTTATTTACACCTTCATACTCATTGCATATACAAAGGTGTAATATTGGTGTCCTAGTGTGTGGCGTGGTGGAACTACTAGAGTCATGCACAGAGGGTTACCCCTTGTTACCGCTCTGTTTCTACATTTCCTGCCTTTAACTGGCCACCTCTTCCCCCCCCCCCAGGGTGGTGAGGTCACAAGGCCTCTGGATCCAACGCCGAGCTCCTCTGAGGGGACTCTTCCTCCCCCTCTCATCCCCCTTCCCGAGCGCAGGGCCTCAGACTGTGAACCTGCAGAGGAGGAGGAAGGGAGGGAGGCACCAACCTTACCCCAAGACCTGGGAACCAACGTTGGATTGGAAGTGGGAGAACCGGAGGTCGCAACAGAGGCTTACAGCGAGATGGGAGGCTCCCCGAGAGAAGAGGAACAAGAGGAGCTTAGCGATACAGAGCTAAATAACAGCGGTATAGGTGTTTCCTGGTAGAGGCATTTTCACAAGTCTATGTTTCACTTTGTTGTCCTCTTAAAACTTGTTTCTACCTTTTGGTTTTATGTTGCTACTTCCAGTCCCGTCACCAGAGCCGTCCCCAGTGAGAAAACACCAGTCGCAAGAGTCCCAGGAAGAGTTTGATTCCCTGTTCGACTCTGTAGCAGAGGAACGAGTCCCATCCCCAAAGGAGGAAGGGCCACCTCCACTTTCTGATAATGACTTGGCTATCTTTGATCCCTGCCATAAACAAGGTGAAAATACATGTCAAGCGGCACATGTGAAGCAAAACCACTTCATGTTGTCTCTCAGTTGTCTGTACTTGTGTGCAGATTCTGTTGCTTTAAAATACCTCCCTGATTAGACCTCAGCTTCCAGTCTGTCCCTACAGGCTGAGCGGCTTTATGGATGCGTGTGTATGACATCATGACCGAGGGTTGTGGATTACAGCTCGACTGTGAGAAAATAATATAGCTGTAAAATAGTTTGCTCTGACTGATGTCCTCCTGATTGAGTTATGCTGTCAATAAAAATGACTGAAAATTGTAAGAGAAGATACAAACGTATCATTGAAATGGCTGTGAGGGAGTTTACATGGTTTATAATCGTTATCAGCCAATGTTGGTTCTACTCTAAACCATGTGAACTTTACACTCTGCCATTTGCTTTGGAGGACAGAACACACAGTGATGCAAGCATGTGCAAGGTAGCGTGGCCGAGCGGTCTAAGGCGCTGGATTAAGGCTCCAGTCTCTTCGGAGGCGTGGGTTCGAATCCCACCGCTGCCAAAAAGTAGTTTTTTCCAACTACTCCGATAAATAGTGATCAAGTTATGCGTTGATATTCTTTGAGTTGAGCGTTGTTGTAACACACATCTTCAAGGTAAGATTCATAACGGGTACATGTTCTATGATTGGTGTATCTAATAGTTAGTCAGCTTGATAACAGATAACCTGTGCGAGCAGTAGGTTTGCCTATTCTCCGTTTATATTCCAATATTAGACGAAGAGCAGCATCGAATGTGTTCATTTGAGGGACTAGACTCATATAATGTTTCACTGAGGACAACTTCTTTATTTCTCTTAAAGGGAATTCCTACCTCTTGCTCGTTTTCTCTCCGTTTCAGATGAATCCAGTCCCTCCTGCGACTACTCAGAGTTGTTCTCGTTGCCGCCATCCAGTCTGGACGGCGGTGACGTGGGCTACCTGAATCAAGCTGCGACTGAGCTCACTGCTGCTATGGAGATGGAGAAGGAGGGAGAATTCAACTCAGCCATTCGTGGATACAGGATGGCGGTGGATATACTGATCACTGGAGTACAGGGTGAGAAAATGTATGAAGCGATGGAGGAAGATGAGTAGGTGGGAATTCTGGGGGAACGTAAGGAGAAATGACTTGCACATTCTTCTAAATTGTTGGCACAATTCATTTCAAAAATGGGGGGAAAAAAAAAGAAACCTTTTAAAAGTGAAGTTTTGTGTTCTCACAGAATCTGAAAACAACACTTTTTTTTTTGTGTCGCCTCTCTTCTTAGTCACAATCCTCCATGTTCATCTGAAACACACCGTCAGTTGAATATGGCGTTTTGCCTTTGTTGCTATAGTGATAGACCATGTGCTCAGCAGCAAAATCTCTGCTCCATTTGCAAAATAGACCGCTATGGGCCCAAATTATAATGTGCATTTAACTGTAATGTCTCGTTAGCTCTGCGCTACATGCTCTAACACGCTGCTCAAACACTACTACAATTATAACTGCACTGCACACACAGCGGATACACACGTGTACACACGCAGGGAAGTGGACACCGCGCAGCAGAGCATGTGCGGTATGTCAGCATGTGACCTCATGGAAAATCAACACGGCTATTTTGTCCCATGATTTACTGTCCTGCTTCAGCAAAGATAAAGTGTGTGTTGCTCAGCCATAGATTTCCTGTCACTAATGGATGAGTCATTAGGTCAACGTCCTGCAGCATCTCTCAGTGAGTGCCTGTCATGGGTAGCGTGGCCGAGCGGTCTAAGGCGCTGGATTAAGGCTCCAGTCTCTTCGGGGGCGTGGGTTCGAATCCCACCGCTGCCAAGATGTTTTCCCAGCTCTGATGTGATTTCTTAAACTGCAGAACAAAGATTACGTCAGGGTTAAATCTGTTATAAAAACATGTTTGTCGTTGCATTTTAAAGGCATGCATGGCATTCAAGAAAAGACTCTTTGTCATGCAGGTCGTGTTACACCCAGGAATTAAAGGCTGAAGGGCTTTCTTTAGAGTTCTAACAGACTTATGTGAATTGTATTTCAGTTATAGTATGTTATAAACACAAGTTATTCTCCTTTGTACTGTAGTATCGTTTACAGAGTGTGTCACACTGAACTCTGTGCTCTTAGCGGTAGCAAGGCTAAATGGTCAAACCCTCTCGTTTCCAAAGAAAGAGATCTAAATCTCACCTCCACCAGGGACTTAACAAAGAATGAATCATAATCATCACAACAAACAAAACTGCTTCAGCACGATTGTTCAAATACGCCTTTCTGATTGGTTTGAAAGGCCCAGTTGGTATCGCAGTAAGGCAAGTTTATTTATATGGCACATTTCAACAACAAGGCGATTCAAAGTGCTTCACACAAGACATCAAAAGCGTCATGACAGAGGAAAGAAAGGAAACATTAAAATAGAACATTTGAAAATCACTGAAATTATAAAATCTGAACGTATGTTCAAATAAGAATAATTCAAATGAAATTAATTGAAATAAATAAAGTAAAAATATAAAAAGAGTACTCATTTTTATAAAATATTGCCCAGATATTTGGATTTTTTGTGGTCAGACAAAGTTTTAATTGATGCATATCTGATGCTTTGAAAATATTTGACAATCTTAAGGGTCATCTATGTTTACTTTATGTAAACAGTGTGTTTTTTTGAAGCACAGATATTCAAATTTTCGTCTAAAGTATGACTTTAGCAGTGAAAGGTTGTTTTTTTTTTAGCAGTGAAAGTAGGGCCATAAGTTGACTGTGTGGGTGTATCAGTAAATAATCACGTAAATATTGATCTTTATCTTCCTGTCCGTCTGTCCAGGAGACCCAGATCCCGTAAGAAAAGAGTCTGTGATGAGAAGGACGGCCCAGTATCTGAAGCACACAGAGATGTTGGTCGACAGGCACTCCTCACCCACACACACTCACACGCCTACACACACACATACACAGGCCCCTTAGATGCACCAAAAAATATTTATACACCCTGTTGAACACAAATGAAGGCAGAACAAAGACAAAGAAGCTCAGGGTTGTGACACACGCGCACATATCACATACATACTGGATCACCGAGTTTCAAAACACAAGCTCCTTCAGGTACAAAACTAGAAACTAACAAGCACACACACACACACACACACACACACACACACACACTTGTAGGACACACTCCAGAGGTACAAAAACAGGAATCTCTGAAATGTTAAAAGTAAATTTATGCTTGTAACTTAATGGATCATTCACCTCTTTTTCTATCTATCTCTCCATCTGTTTCTACCTTTCTCTTGTTTAAATATTGGCCTTCTTTTTACAAAGCTTTCTTGTGAAATACAGTAACGTTTAAGTATATCTGTAATTTGCATTTTGCACAAAACTAATGTCTTGTTAATAAAAGATTTTAATTTAAGGCGAGACGATTTCTGTTTTCCTTGGGAAAGGTTTGAGAGAACCAAAGAAGATGATTTATTCTGTAGAATAAATATAGTGGATACATTATGAATAATCAGGTCTAATAACAGTAACATGGCCAACATACTTCAAAGTCATAATCACTTACTCTTCATCTAGACTCGATGCAAAAAAACGTGTTTAGATGCAAACAACTGATTTGAACACAACCATCATGCTTTGATGACTTTATGGTCATAATATTTGTGATTATGTCATCATAGAGAAGTCTGCAAATAGTGTCCGTGACTTTTAGCACACACTGGCTCCTCAACAGAATCAAGCAGTTCAATGTTTGCAGTAGCAAAGTGGTACAGTAGGGGGCACTGTTGGCTATTATACAAAGTGCAGAAACTCCTCATTACCCGTGTTGACTGCCCTATAAATCAGGGAAGTGACATGTTTGGATCTCTCACATGAGAAAATTCTGAGTAAATCAGTAATCTAGCTCAGTGATTACTGAAACAGTCTGATGAGGAAACTGGAACTCGCACTGTGGATGAAATCTTCTGTCGTCAGTAACAGCGATGAAATGAAAACAACAAGCTAATAATGTTTTCTTCTTTATTTCATTTACTGTGTTTACTGCAGAAACTGGCAAGAAAGTCATTTACTGATACAAATAATGTTTGTAAGCTCCCTGAAAAGTGCTGGTGCAAATAGTATATGGTGTAAAATAATAGTTCCACTGGCAGATACGTATTTACACGATTACATTATTACTAGAAACTGACATTAGTGTGCTCCTAAATACATTTCTTTGTGAATTTTGTCATTCTTTGCAGCAGTCTCAGTGTGCATGTTTTGATTAATATCTTAAAGAAACAGACATATCTCCGTTTTTATGGTCATGTTTTGTCATTTTGTACAATTTAAAAAAAATAAGGAGAGGGTTTGTTTAAGAGAGAGAGAAGAAAAAAAAAGGGTAGGAAATGAGGAGCAAAAGAGGAATTTAGGAGGAGCATACAGCAGAATCCCCTCTCTGGAGAGGAGAGAGGGGATGGAGGGATGACTGGAAGGACAAAAAGATGGAGAGGCAACAAAAAAAAAAAGAGGCCGGCGAGAGGAAAAGGCTACCCTTTCGCTCACCAGATGAGGAAAAACGAGGGGTTGCAGGGAGCAAGAGATAACAGAGGAGAGGAAAGAAGAAGGGATCTGATTAGAGGATAAGCAGAGATCATCCCTCCATTGTTATAAAGGGATGGAAAAACTGACCCTCCCTCTTCCTCTATTTTCATCCCCCCTACCTCTTTTTTTTTTGCATCCTTTTGTTTTGAGCATTGTGGGGAGCTTGAAGAGGATGGAGGGATGGGAGAGAAAGAGAGATATAGCATTGCTCCATCCTGTTATGTCTCCCTCTTTTCCTCTCATCTCTCCACCTCTCTCTCTCTCTCTCTCTCTCTCTCTCTCTCTCTTTCTAGTGCTGCACCTGTGATACGCAGGGGATGGTAGTATAGAGAGGAAAGATGGAGAGACAAAGAGATGGATGGATGGATGGATAGAGGGAGCGAGGGAGGGAGGGATGAAACCAGGGGAAGGGAGGGGGATGGGGGGGTTAGAGTCTCGCAACATTAGCATGCTGAGAGTGTCAGCACTCTCCTCTTTTTCTCTCCCTCCATCCCCATCCCTCTCTCCATCCATCCCTCCCTCTGTCTCTTTCTCCTCACTGGTCATTGCAATTATACCATCAAAACACTCCAGCCTGAGAGCATAATAGCTTCCCCCAGTGTGTGTGTGTGTGTGTGTGTGTGTGTGTGTGTGAGAGAGAGTGCACAAATGTGTGTGTGTGTGTCATCATGAGTGATCAAAAGGAATAGATGTGTGTGCATTTGTGCATAATTTAGTGGCGTACACGGTGCAACATGTGCATGTATGACATGTAGGGCAGCTGTGTGCGCATACGTGTGTATTTGCCAAAAACTGGATTTGCGGCATGTGTGGGAGCAACATGAGTGTGTGTGTGTGTTTGTGTGTGTGTGTGTGTGTGTGTGTGTGTGTGTGTGTGTGTGTTTGTGTAAGTATCGTCGAGTCCTACCGGCTAGAAAAACTGCTTCTTCAACCTCTGACCAAACACACTCTTAAAGCCTCTCTGTGAGACCCACTCTACATGTGTGTGTGTGTTTAGTGAGTTTCTATTTACACACACACACACACACACACACACACACATTCCAACTAATGGATGCACACAGGCATACAGTCATGGCTTTGAGACACAAACCGTTATGACCTACATGCCCAGTGGGTTATCATTAAGCCAAACAGCACACTCTGACACCTTTGGCTTTCCACACACACACACACACACACACACACACACACACACACACACACACACACACGCACACTCACACGCTCACTGTTTTTTTGTTTTGTTCTCTTAACTTCCTCTATCCCTCTACCCTTCCACCCTCTGTCTCTTCCTCTTTCTCTTGTTCTCTAACACACACACACACACACACACTCACTCACGCACACACATTTCCCCCTCTATGCGCTTGTTATCCCTCTCTGTCCGCTTGTTTCTCTCTGTCACCTTGCCCTGAGCTATTTGAGCACACTTCTGTCTCTGTCTCTGTCTCTCTCTCTCTCTCTCTCCCTTTAACATACTCCCATCTCTCTTATACACAAAACACTCTCATTCTCTTTCTATCTGTGCGCCCGCCTGTCTAAACCTCACTTCCAATCTGTCTGTCTGTCTCTCTCGCTTTCTGCTAGCGTCAGTCTTGACACACGGTCTCTGTCTCTTTGTGTCACTGCAACACGATATCCTGATTCACAGGTGAACAGTAATCCCAAAACACCTTAAAACAACTTGATACATTTGATGTAGCACAGTTGAAAAGTGAAAGGGCCAATCCAGTTATTTTACAGTCGGTTATTGCTAAGCTTTCTTTACTAGACCTATAGTGTTGGTGTGTATACCTATTCATGTTTTTTAGTTCATATTCCACAACAATCATAGTTTCTTCAGAGGCACCCATAATTCTTATTCATGTGTTTTTGCAGAGACCAAATCTCAATCAGCGATATTATACACAAACATAAGCGAACGTCTGTACTCGAGGAGAAATAAGTCGATGGTTTGAGGCTCAAAACGCTTTCAGGAAACAAAACACTGTATACGTATTTTTGAGGCAACAAATACTAACCAATCACAACACAGAAGCACGAGCCAATCGAAATACACGAGGGCAGGATTAAGCGAACAATTTGGGGAACAATTACAGCTTGACATGACGAAAAACAAGTCAAGGTATTGTCATCCTTTTTTTTATTGACTTCCTATAAGCACTATATAAGCTAGTTAAAACTTTCTTCTGCACAGACCACCTCAATTTGTTGGCATGAGGATGCAACAAAAAAAGAGCTGAAAGAGGCTAAAATGTTTCATAAATCTAAGAGTGAAAAGCACCGTCGGTGAAGGTTATTTGCTCCAAAAAGAAACCCCTATGGTCATTTGACCCACTGTTCATGAGATAATGCACCTTTAACTAGGCATTTGTACCTCTAATCCCCCCCCCCTCCCACTTTATAGTATTGCTCTGACTATAGTTTGTTGTTTCCTCTTTTATGTGGCTATTTCTCTCCTACTTTTTTCTACCCCCCTCCCTCATTCCCTTTTTTTTCTCCCCCCATCACTCTCTCCATGTAAGTAAATCAATGAACATACACTTTATGCCATCTATTGATCCTTTCATATCTATCTGTCCTCACTCCCTCCTGATTGCCCTCTGTATTTCTCTCACTTTTTCACTCTACTCCATCCCCCCCCCCCAATCCCATTTTTCCTCACCCCTGTCTATCTCCCCTTTGAATTTATAATCTCTATTCCCTTATTCTGTCTCTCTCTGTCAGTCCCTTTCTCTTTATATCCCTCGCTTGGGACTTCCTATTTATACGGCTGGCACCTTCATGCTCCCACTGAAGTGTGTGTGTGTGTGTGTGTGTGTGTGTGTGTGTGAGCGAGTGAGTGTTTGATGTTGGTCTAAGTGGTTAACATAATATGAGCCCTCAGAGAGATGACGTTCCCGCACTCACACACACACTTATGCACAATTTCAGGCTTTTTGGGAGGCTTTTCTGTGAACAATTTGTGCTTTTCAGTATTCTCCAGCTTGTGAAGCAGATCCATGTATTATCTATCAATTGCATTCTCCCACTCCGTCCTAATACACACACTCACACGCAAACACCTTTGTGGCTCGACATCCTTCCTAGAATGACAAAAAAACCTGGTATTATCTTTTGTTATTTGTTACAGCAGATGGAGCCATCATTTCGTGACCTCGCCATCTCTTGCTGTCCCCGGTCTGCATATGTTTTTATTTATTCAGACCTCTTTCGCTTTCTCTCTTTTCATGCCCTCTCCTCCTTTCCGCCTGTTTATGTTTATTCAGTCACATCACCCTCTTTTTGCTCTGCGTCTCTCCCCCTTTTCTCTCCCTCTGTGCCCGTGTGTCCAGCTTTTGTTACAAGCCTCGTTTCCATAACAACTGCAACCTTTCAGTCAGTGCCTAACCATTTTTAATCAGAAGAAAAAAGCAGAGATGAGATGAGACAGAGGGAGAATAGGGAAGGAGGTTACATGGGTGATTGATGAAAAATGTATCCTATTTTATCCTCAGAAAGAGATGACAAGAGGAGAATAAAGTGAGGATGGAAACTGGCCCTGATCTAATGGTGAGACACTCTGGGCAAGATTCCCAGCAACAGGTATCAGAGTGCTGCTCAAGGACAGGCATCTATTTATGTGTTTTCCCGGAAGCCTAATCTTCCAAATTATCACAGCAACAACTTAAATTCAGTCATTACGACTAGTTAGATTGAGACTTTCCTAGAAATGGCCCTACCTTTCCTTTTTTCTGGATTTTGAAACACTTACATTTGTGTATGTGTATTTGTAGTTATGTTAAAGTGATCAAAGTGTATTTTTAAAGGAACAATATGTAAATTTCCCACCT